GCGGCGGGCGTCGACGACGCCATGGTCGAGGCCGTCGGCCTCGCCGGCTCCCGCCGCGTCGTCGACGACACGGAGTCGGGCGACAACTGGCGCAACCGCCGCGTCGAGATCCACTGCGCCTGAAGAGACCAAGCACTACGCGTCTCCGCGGCCGCTCCGCCCGAGACCAAGCACCACGAAGCCCGCGTCCCCGCGCCGCGAGCCCCCGCGACTCGCGAGCCCGACGCCACCCACGACCCACACTGCCTGCGACCCGCGACGACCAAGACGTCGCCCCCCACGACCTGTTGTACACCTGTAAGAATCCTCTGTACTGCTCGGCGAACAGGTGTCGTCGGACGGCGTCGGCGGGAGGTCTCCGGCCGGCGCCAGTCGTTTGTCCACAACATCGGGGGCTGGACGCCGGTCAAAGACCTGAGACGCCGACCGCCGCCCCGACGACGTGCGCCCGCGCCCCGACTCCCCACGTGCCCTGTCCTCCTGAAACGAGTGGGAAGACCGTGTGAATTGGGATGTTGTCGTGCGCCGCCTGTGCGAAGCCCGCTCCCCCGCTGAACTGCGCCCGGTGCAAAACAGCGTACTGCTCGGCCGCCTGCCAGAAGACAGATTGGAAGGCGGCGCACAAGAAGCTATGTAAACAGATCGCGAACGCGGGCGGCGCCCTACAGTTCGACGCCGACGCGAAGGCCAAGGTGGCCGCGGACGCGGCGATCGCCGAGTGCGCCGGCGGGGAGCTCGCCGACGTCGACGAGCCGTGCTACATCTGCGGGGACGACGACCGCGCGGGCCTGGTCCGCGGGTGCGCGTGCCGCGGCACGGCGGGCGTGGCCCATCTGAAATGCCTGGTGGCGCAGGCGCGGATCGCGCACGAGGAAGAAGAGGACAATGCGTTAGAACGGTGGCACAGCTGCAAGCTGTGTGGTCAGCGATTCCACGGTTCCCGTGCTTCTCGCCTTGATGCGCGCGTGTTGGAAGAACTACGTCAAGAACGACGAGGGTGATGCGCGGCGGCTGAATGCGTTAAGCATACTCGCGCCAGCCCTCCGGCAGAACGGTTTTCTCGAGGAAGCCCTCGGCACATCCAATATGGCTCTCGCCGCAATGCTTCGCTGCGCCCCAAACGCAAAGCAAAATATTAGCTCGATCCTTCACAACATCGGCAACATCAAATCTGAGATGAACGCGAAGGTGAAAGCCTCTGAAACTGCGGAGAACACTCGCGCCGGTCGAAATTGGGAAGAGGCGACACCGTCTGCGTCAAATCTGAAGCGCGCCGACCAGCTCGATCTTGCGCGCGCGATGTATGCATCGGAACGGGCAACGCACGGACCGGAGCACGAGGCCTCGTTGAATTCTGCCATCAACCTTATGAACACGATGCGCGCCCAGAATCAGCTGGGGCAGGCGCGGCGGCTTCTTATCGAGCAAATTCCTTTCGCTGAAAAGGGGCTTGGCGCGGAGCATCATTTGACCCTCGTCCTCTCCGCGGCTCTGGTCTGCATACTCGAGGACACAAACATGTATATGGCGGTCGCCGCGGAGCCCGTCGAGGCAGACCTTCGCGAGGCTGAAACTTTGACTGCGCGTGTTCGGCCGTTAATGATTCGGGTCCTCGGCAAGTCCCATCCTCACACAAAGGCCACGTTGCTCAAGATGGACGCGTACGCAAAGATGCGGTGCGCGCTTCGCGACAAACCGGAAATTATCGAGCAGCAACGGCGCGCGTTCAAGCAGCAATTCGCCGGCCCCGCCGGGAAAAAAATGATGGAGTTCACGCTGCGCGACCTCGCGAACGCCCGAGGTGATCCGTCGCAGCACTGGCCCTACTTCGACGCCGTCGCTTCCGATTAGAGCAGCCACGCGCATCTTCCTAAAATCGCCGCTCCTTAAGTAACTCAGGAAAGCAGCTGGACGCACGCGCGGAGCCCCGCCGCGCGCGCGCCGTCGTCGAAGGACAGCTCGAGCTGCGCGAGCTCCGCGGCCGTGAGCCCCTCGGCGTTCTCCAGGAGCGTGTTCGCCCCGAAGGCGATGAGCGTCGACACGACGTCGACGAAGCCGTCGCGCGCGAGCGCGTGCACCGGCGCGTCGCCGGACGCGGACGTCGCGTTCACGTCCGCGCCCGCGTTCACCAAGGCCTCGGCGACCTCGGAGCGCTTCGCCGGGTCCGCGCAGAGCGGCAAAATGTGCAGGGGCGTGCGGCCGTCGGACGTCCGCGCGTCCGGCTCCGCGCCCGCGTGGAGGAGCGTCAGCGCCAGCCGCGTCGACCCGTTCGCGACCTGGGCAGGAAAAGGGTGCGAAATTCCCAACTTTGGAGGCTCATATCTCGGCCATTTCCCACTCGTTTCGGCTAGTTTTTGGACGGGCGATCATCTCTCGGAGCGCTCTCGAAGCGTAGATGTTTTTCCTGGAACACGCGCGCGCGGAACACTCACGTTGAAGCGACGTAGAATCACTCTTTTCCTCCCCGTTCGCGACGGCCGCCGCGAGGGGCGGGAAGCGCACCTCCGGGTGGCCGTCGTCGAGCGCCGGGTCCGCCCGCAGCAGGAGCAGGCGCCGCACGAGCTTCTCCGAGACGCGGTCCCCGAGCACGTCGCACCAGGTCACCGCGTAGCACAAAGCCGTCGTCCCCTCCTGCGGCTCCATCCGCGCGCGGTCGCCGCCCGCGATCCCCGCCCAGTCGTCCGCCGCCTTGTAGCGCGCGTTGACGCGCACGCGGCAGCGGAGCACGAGCGCCTCCACGAGGTCGGCATCGCCGTGGGCGCAGGCGGCGAAGAGGTGGGCCGGCTTGGGGTCGCGCGGCACGGATCGCCGCGCGGACGCGCGCTGCTTCCGCGGCCGCCTCGCCTGCGGGTCGGCGCTCACGACCCCCGTGACGGCCGCGAGCTCCGCGGCGTTGGGTAATGTGGCGACGTAGGCGATGGCCTCGGCGATGCCCGGGTGCCGGCCGTCGCCGGACTTGACCTCGCCCGCGGCGAAGCCCGCGGCCGAGTCGGTCGCCACGGACAGCGGCGCGGCGGTCCCGACGTCGAGCACGGCGAAGGGCAGCCAGGAGACCTGGTCGCAGAAGGCCGCCGGCGCCAGGGCGCCGAAGGCGCAGCCCCGGGGCAGCCGGCCCTTCGCCGCGACCGCGAAGGACGTCTCCGCCATGACGGCGGCGACGAGCGCCAAATCGCGGAGCGCGGGGCAGAGGCGCCCCAGGGGCTTGCGGCCGTCGGCGGCGGAGACGACGTAGGCCCTCTGGGCCCGCGCGAAGACGCCGTCGCCGAAGGGCCGCTCCCGGTTCGCGAAGTCGTCCGCGGCCCGCTCCAGATTCGACGCGAAGATTAGAACCTCCGCGTCGTCGTCGCCGTCGAAGCCGAAGACGTAGTCGCGCTCCTTCGTCGAGAGGGTGAGGTAGCTCCAGGCGCCATCCATGCGCTTGCCCAGCGGCGCGTTCGCGTGGTACGCCGCGACGAAGCCGTTGCCCTCGGGGCCCAGCGTCGCCCTCGAGATGCTCGCGAGCGCGACGCCCTTCTTGCCGTCGCCGCCGCCCATCTTGCCGAAGAGGCCCCCGGGCCGGTCCGACGCCCAGGACACGCGGCCGTCGGCGACGCGGATGCGCTTCCACTCGGCGCTCTTGCCGTTGGACCCGACCTTGAGCACCGTGCGCTCCCTCGCGAGGAACGCGCGCCGATCCGCCGCCGACAGGTCGACGACGCGCGAGATCTTCGAGCCGTGGCGCCCCTTGGCCGCCGCGACCTCGGCGGGCGAGAGCAAGGACACGAAGCGCGTCTCCGGCGCCCTCGGGGGCTCCTCCTCGCGGCGCCACTGGGACTGGAGTCTTCGCGCGTAGTCCGCGTCGCGCGCCGCGCGCTCCGCGGCGTCGCGCGCGTCCGGGTACGCGCGCGACAGCGCCGCGGACGTCGGCGACAGGGGCGGCGGCGGCAACGCCGACTTCTCCTCCTCGACGCCCTTCTCCTCCTCGACGCCCTGGGGCGGCCGCCGCGCGGCGACGCAGGCCTCGAGCGCGGCTAGGGCCGCGGCGGCGTCGCGCGCGTCCGGCGACTCCGCGGGCACGCCGTCGCGCGCCGCGGCGCGTCGCGCGTCGACGAGGGCCGCGAGCGCGTCGGCGAGGTGCGCGGCGACGTCGTCGCCCGCCTCGT